GGTTTGTGAATTGTAATGTAATTAAGATACAGGATCAACTATAGAGCCACTTTAAAATAACATTAAACATTTTAAAAATTGAGTTAAAATGTAACAAATCAAAACAATTCTGATCATAAATCAAAATTTACTTCAAGACATTTTAAGATTGTAGTTTCCAGTCAACAAATACAACATTTTGAGATCATATTTTGTTCTTATTGTGATGCATGTCTGAGTGAAACAGCTTATTTTTTTAAATGCAGGTCAGGAATAAATTTGATGAAAAGCTGGATAATTGTTTGCTATTGCTGTGATCTCATGTGACTGACAGGTTTTCCCATCTTCACATCATCAGACGAGAGAAGAGCTGTGTTTGTGAGGGAAAGGGAGTGTTATTTTCATTAAAGATCACAAGGGACGCTATACGTAAGCCGTCTGCTATATTGGCATGTCCGGTGCATCTGCACTACAACTGTAGTTATACACATGTATGAATATTTATATCTTCAGTAGACTTCAGAAGATGCTTTTGCTAAACTAACACAATAAACAAGATGAAGCCGTTAGCTAACAAGGCATTTAAAAGATACTTTAGTTTAAAACCTGTAATATGGAGTTAATACATATTAAAACCACAAACCAACACATTCTTATCTGTGAAAGTGTATCCAGTTTCTTCAGGAATTTAAATTGTCAGTTTTTACACCCAGATGCTGCACAACGTTGTTGCATCTTGAAACTCATTGTTTGTTAGTTAGGTGCCCTTTAATTAGACATTTTACATTTTATGAAATACTAACATTAAATTGAAAGTGGTTGTGAACAGTTCTGTTGTCAGAAAAAGAAAAAAAAAATGACAAATAATTAGATTAGATTCAACTTTGCCATTGTGCAGAGTAAGCACAGAGCCAATGACATTCAGTTAGCATCTAACCAGAAGTGCAAATGGCACTATATTTATGAAAATAAATATGAATATATATATGTGTATATATCATTTTTTATGGAGTGCAAAGTTGTAGTGTTTTGGGACTGGTACAATGGTGACTGTTTTGAAGTAAGTGGGGACCAAGTAGAGCTTGAAAATGTGTGTGCAGACCCTGAGCACTCGGTCAGGAAGACCATCAGGGCCAGACACTTTATGTGTATTCACCTGCTCAGGTAGAAGCACACCTCACTGGTTAAACAAGAGAGCGGCATGTCGTCGTGTGGGATGTATATGAAGCTCTTCTTTCAGACAAATATAATCAGAGTTATATTAAAAAATATCCTGGCTCTTCCAAGGCTCTTTATAACATGGGGTCGGACTCAAATGAGAATTAAAATAGATGACTGTAACATTACTAGTCATGTAACATGTGAAATGTAAGATACTCACTTGAGTGTGTTGAGTGTACAGTGTTTATCCTGCAGTAGAGCAGCGATCTGATTCACTCGTGTGTCTCCTAGTTCATGTTCACTCAGATTCAGCTCTCTCAGGAGTAACAGGTTTTTACCCACAATTCCAGTCACATACTGACAGGCTTCATCTGCAGCAGGACCCACAAACCTGCAGAAGAGAAGATGAAGCTGGATTCAATTCAGTGTGCATTACATCACAAAACATTTAAAGATTATCAAACATTGTTTGTAACAAAAAGCTCTAGTTCAAGTTTAAACAGTTGAACATTTAAATATACAAATCTTTTTTTTTTTTTTAAGAAAGACAAAAGTCAAAAGTAAAATTATTTAAAAGAAACTCACACTGAATATTTTTTCATGAGAAATGTCCACAATAACACAATCATAAATGTTAACTATCGAAGCACCAAACTACTGAATACCAGCACATCTAGTGACCCAAAATGTCTGATTAAGCTGTAACTTTTAACACAACTAAACTGTGCTGACATTTATCATCAGAACAACAGCAGCTGCAGCATCTGATCTTTCATGTTTGATCATTTTGAAAATGTTTGATGCAACAAATTGTGTACCTTACTGAATTAGTGAAATAATATAATTATATTATATTTATATGTAATATAAATAATTCACATGTGTATAATTTATTTTGCATTACTTCATCAGGTCTCACCTCAGTGTCTTGAGTTGAGAGTTTGGATCCTGTAGTAAATCACTGAGCTGCTTCACTCCTGATGGTCCAGGATCATTTCCTGTGAGATCCAGCTCTATCAGGTGTGAAGGGTTTGATCTCAGAGCTGAAGACAGAGCTTTATAACCTTCTTCAGTGATACTGCAGTCTGAAAGTCTTCAAAAAAAGTTATTATATTTAAAGTTATATAATTAATATTACAACAAAAAGGTTTAATGCTTTTTCTTCTGATCGGAGAAGAAAAAACAAACATTTCACCATCTGACAGGAGCATGTCTTTCCTTTTTTAGATTACAGTAGTACTATTTTCATTTTGATCAAAAGAGAATGTTATTATTAAAGGTGGTTGATTGCGATTTCACTTTATTAACATTAGTTAGTGTGTAATTTTGCTGTTTGAGCTTAAACAATATCTGCAAAGTTGCGGCGCTGAAAGTTCAATGCAAACGGAGACATCATCTTTTAAAATTCTGGCAGTTTAATGCCTACAAAAACGGCTCGTAGGAACTACAACGAGTTTCTTCCTGGGTTTGTGACATCATCAAATCAAGACAAACCAGGTGACCTTCCAGCAATGGGGGCGAGGCCATGCTGCGCTGCTTTACAGAAGAGGAAGAGAAAACTAGGGGTGCACGTAAAAAAACATTTCCATTGCAGTTTTGTGAATTATTCCCTTTTCGCATTGCCTGAAAAACCACCTCATGCGAGCGTAAAAACGTTTTTGCAATATATGGGCATTTTTGCGAAATTGACGCGTTTCCTTTAGGCATATTTTCAATTCACAATTTCAATTTCAACTTCAATGGGTGGGACATTTAGATGTGCACTAGAGGCGGTTTAGCCAATCACAACACACTGTACTAGCTAACCAATCTGAGCCCATCATGTATTTCTGAGGGAGGGGCTATATAAAACCAGCAAATGATCAGCGCATTTATGGGAGAAGGGACAGAGCGGTGTAGAATAAAGGTCAATTATGTGAAAAATTATGCGTTTTTAAAGGAAGCATTAACACATGTTAGACTGCACCTCATAAACACAATCAAGCCTAGAAAGAAAGAAAAACAGTCAACCACCCCTTTAAAACCAAACAATGGTTCATTACATTCACCTGAGTTTCTCCAATGTGCATTTTTTATTTTCTAATCCATTCTGGAGTTGCTTCACTCCTGAATCCTGCAGATTATTGTTGCTCATGTCAAGCTCTTTCAGACTGGAGTTTGATCTCAGGACTGTAGCGAGAGCTGAACAGCTTTCCTCTGTTAGACCACAATCACGCAGCCTAAAATGAATTTACAAATACAAAGTATGGTAACACTTCACAAAAAGGTTCCATTAGTTAATGTTAATGTATTAACAAAGAAAAAAGAAAGTGAAAGTGACGTGACGTGGCCAAGTATGGTGACTTGAAATTAAATTTCCCTTCCCTTCACATGTAACAGGTCAATGTACTATAAAAACATCCTGTAAGTTTCAGAACTCAAACCCTTCTTGTCAGTTCAAAAACAGCTTTTATTGAAACCAAACTCAGAAAACGACTAGTTTTGGAATATCACATTATGATAGTCTGCTGAAGATCAACGCCTGTTTCTATATTATTACCTCTTCAGCCCCGACCACTGATTCACACATGTAATAGGAGGAGAGGAAATACTAGAGAAACACAGGATTACTCCATCAACAAAACCATAGATATGCCTCCGAGGATCACAAGATGCTGTTTAGTGTAAATTGTGAAAAATCTTTGTGTTGCCTTCCTTGTGATCCTAACATCAGATCTACACCGGTCACGAACATTGTGGCGTCGTAAATCCATTTCTCTTTCATGTCAGAAGCAGCGCCAGCACTTGAAGCACATAAGAAATAGAACGGGACATCAAGTTACTCTCAGAGATTTGTCATGTCAATCTGTTCCACATCCAGTGTAGTCGAATATCGGGCCGCAGGGGTGGCCTTGCTACTGTTTTTAAACACACTTTTCACTGTCGTTCTCTATCTACTGGCTCATATAACAGTTTTGAGGTGCAACTTTTACAGTTAGTCTTAGTAAACCCCTTCACTACAGCTCTAATATATCATCCTCCTCACCATAATAAGGACTTTATTATTTATAAGGTTCTGCAGAGAGTGTCACTACTGAAACTATACATACTCCGAGATGGACTTGTAGACAGGCTGAATGCAAATGGAAGAAGGATAGATTGCAGATTTTGAGGAACTCCTATAACATGTTTAAGAAAGCTGCAAAGGCTGAACTTATCACAAACCTCAAGTTCTTTTTTTTACTATTAACTCTGTCTTAAATCCCTCTGTGCATTCTTTTCTAGAGCCCTCTGCTTCTCTCTGTAATGGTTTTGGAAAGTTTTTTGAGAAGATCACAAAATTAAGATCCCAGCTGTCTAACTTAATATACATTTTGCATGATGTTCCATTATGTTCTTCTACCTGGTCTGAGTTTGAACCCATTGATTTGACCTCATGTAATGAAATTGTTGGTCACCTAAAACCAACTAACTGTCCTCAGGATATTATTCCATCTCTTTTCCTTAGACAAATCATGGATACAGTTGGTCCTGATCTGTTATTAACAAATGTTTGTCTACTGGTTTCAACAGACTTAAATGTGCTGTGGTGATTCCATATCTTTAAAAAAAAAATCAAACCAGGATCATTCTTCTCTTTCCAATTTTCATCCAATTTCTAATCTACCCTTTATCTCAAAGACCCTTGAGAAAGTTGCATTGACTCAATTACAATCTTATTTGGCTGTTAGTTCTGTTCATGAGATGTTTCAATCTGGCTTCAAAGCTTTACACAGTACTGAATCTACCCTTGAGTTTCAAGTGATATTTTTTACAGAAACTGATTCTGGGAAATTCATGGCTTTAGTTTTATTAGATCTGAGTGCTGCCTTTGATTTGGTTGACCATGAGGTCCTGTTGACACGTTTGGAGACATCTGTGGGCCTTCGTGGCACAGCCTTACAGTGGTTCCGTTCTTATCGGACCAGCAGATGTTTTATTGTTTGCATTGGTCATCAGACCTCCTCTTGTATACCTCTTAATTGTGGAGTTCCACAGGGATAAATCCTTGAGCCGATATTGTTCACCCTGTACGGTACCTCTGGCTTCCATTTTTTAACAAATATAAAGTATCCTTTCATCTCTATGCTGATGATTTTTTAATTTAAATGAAAACAAAACCAAAATAATTATTTTTGGCCATAAGGAAAATTGTGTGTTAAATGTTGACTGGCTCTCTGGCTCCATATGTAACTCAATATGCTAGAAATCTGGGCGTTCTGTTTGATCATAACTTAAAATTTGACAAACACATCAATGCTGTTGTAAAATCATGCTTTTCTCATCTCCGTCAACTTTCTAAAATGAAACCTTTCTTATCACCAAGTAACTTCCAAACGGTGGTCCATGCTTTTGTAACAACTTGTTTAGACTATTGATATTCACTTTATTACGGTGTCTCAGTCTTCCCTCTCTCGTCTACAGCTAGTGCAAAACACAGCTGCTAGACTACTCTCTGCACCTGCAAGTATGAGCCAGTAACTCCTATTTTATCTGCACAGCACTGGTTACTTATCAAATATAGAATTGACTTTAAAATTATGTTATTTGTTTATAAAGCCCTCGATAATTTGTCCCTTCAGTACCTGACTGACCTGCTCCATCCGTTCACCTCTTCTAGAACAAAGAGATCCAGTGATCTCTGTCTACTCATCGCGCCTAGATCTAGACTTAAATGAGGTGATAGAGATTTTGCAACTGCAGGTCAGAAACTCTGGAACAGTCCACCTCTTCATATTAGATTAGCCCCCTCTATTTCTGCTTTTAAGTCTGCTCTAAAGACATACCTATTCTCTCTAGCTTTCAATACCCCTTGGTCATTGGTTTAATTGTCGTTTTGTTATGGTTGTGTTTTAAATTTGATAGTCTTGTTTTATTCATTTTATTTCTGAATTTTTATTTTATTCTGTACAGCACTTTGGTCAACTTCATTTGTTTTTAAATGTGCTTTACAAATAAATATTGTATTATATTGTATTGTATTAATATGCAAAACTGTTAGCCAATCATAGCAGTGGGCATTCACTTCAGCATCTTGAATGTGCCTCGTCTATAAAAACAGACTGTTCTGCAGATAGGATCAAAACCCGGATACAAAATATCCGGTTATATAGCCTGTTATATCTAAATTATGATGTTTTTTTATGTAAAAATCTTGCTAACATTATAGGTGCATCACAGAGAACATTATAAAATAATTAAAAAACACAGTACATGACCCCTTTAAGGTTTAAATTATCTAAAACTCAACAGGTGTGAAAGTCTTTCATCTAAATGAGCCACAAGATACAAACAACCTCAAAATGGTTGAAAAACAAGAAAATGTAAGTTTTGAAATGGCCTAACATAAGTCCACTCTTAAACCACATTGAAATTACCTTAAATGTAGAGTTCATGCTGGAATTAAAGCCTACAAATTTCACTGAGCTGAAGCAGTTCTGTCCTCAATTCTGTGGCAAATTATCTAGGTCCATGTTAACAGATGGATCTAAAATTTAACCAAACACTAAGGATTGTCACAAAGCTTACCTCAGCATCTCTAATTTGCAATTTATATTCTTCAGTCCAGTGCAGAGCAGCTTCACTCCTGAATCCTGCAGATTATTATTGTTCATGTTCAGCTCTTTCAGATTGGTATCTGATCCAAGAACTGTAGCCAGAGCTGGACAGCTTTTGTCTGTTAAGTCACAATAATTTAGCCTACAAGAGACAAATATAAAATCATAGAGTTAGATACATGTAATATATTTGTTAAATACAAAAAATTACATTTATATCAATTATTTTTACATGAACAGCAAATATACTGCATATATATATGAGATATTTATTGATTCAAGTTTCCTAGCATGCTTGAATAAAACTTAATAAATTATGTAAATGAATAATAGGTTTATATCATTAATGGCAATGAGTTATACATTTAAACGTGCTGCTCTATTATCTTGATGGGTGTCTTGAGGTTGAGAATCTGGAGGTTAATCATTTATGCATTGAGGTTATGCAAGAGTATATCTCCTTTATAGCAGAAGTTTAAGAAGCTGAACTGGATATTGGAGTAGAAATAACTATGGAACAATGTGTTTTATAATAAAATGATGTGCTTCGTTTGCAGCTAACAAAACAGCTTTTGCCGAAAAGAGAAATTTCTACATACAACCCATGTAAATCTAATAAAATACCATTGAACAGTAATTCCAAAGGACTGCAATTTTTAAAGAAAAAAATAAATAAAAAAGCTAAAGAAAATATGTTACGATTTAACCCTAAAAGAGATACATATTTATAATTGGTATATGGTAGATCAGGGGGTATTCCAAAAAGCAGGTTATCTGACATACCCGGGTATGTTTGAGGATAAGCGAGCAGATAACCTCAGCTTTCGGTTACAAAATCGGAGGTTACATTCAGGGTATGTAAGTAACCATAGCAACTTGCTCTCTGAAGATAACCTGCTCTGGACCAGGTTATGTTCCAGGGTTAGTTCACTTCAGCACACGCGTGATCAGCACATGATCTACTGATGAGCCTTCAGTGGGCGTGACAGATCGCGCACAATATTATATATTAGTACAATACAGTTATGTATATAGCCATGTATGTATGTATGTATGTATGTATGTATGTCATATGATTTGATATAATTAGCTTCAAACAAACAATATAATTCTTAGTCTCGAGGATTAAAGAGTAAACGGAAAAAAAGAAAAATTATTGCACAACTATCAATTAGGTGGCGATATGCACTAAGCATGTAAACGACCATTGAACAAAAGAAGAAACAGCATGGCGCGCATTTTCTTAGCGTCCGTTTCCATAACGACACGTCGATTCATCGCTCTGTTGAGAATGTCTTGAGTCTTAACCAGGAACATACTCTGTGTTGAATGAACTTACTCCCGGACGCGTTTTTGGAAACACAAACCTCGAGTAAGCAAGGTTTGGGGTTAATCAACCGAGAGTTCGGGGAGTAACAGATGGTAAGTTAACCGTGCTTTCTGGAATACACCCAAACCTGGGCCAAACCTGCTATATATAAATCCAGATAAATGAAATTTTAAGAGGAGAACAAACCATGACAAAATATATGAAATAACTTACAGAGCTCTTTTGGAGGTTTTGATGACTGCTGATAATCTAATGAGACACTCGTCTGATTTCTTGAATTTCTGAAGCTCGAACTCCTCCAGCTCCTCCTCTGATGTCAACAACACAAAGACCAAAGCAGACCACTGGGCAGGTGAAAGATCAGCAGATGAGAGGCTTCCTTTGCTAAGGTGGGTCTGAATGTCTTTCACCAGAGTTTGGTCGTTTCGTCTGCTCTGCTGGATCTGAAATCTGAGAAAGTGTGTGTACATTTGTGTTAGAGTCTTAGGAGTGTCCTCAGTATTTGACGCCTGCAGTGTTTTGGAGGCATCATCAGCCTGATTGTTTTTCACAACATTATTTTTTTTCTCCTCTAAAATATTCTGGAGAACAGTGGCTGAAATCCAGCAGAAGACTGGGATGTGGCACATGATAAAGAGACTCTTTGATTGTTTAACATGATCAATGATATCTTTGGCCAGATTCTCATCCATTAATCTTTTTCTGAAGTACTCCTCCTTTTGTGCATCATTGAATCCTCGTATCTCTGTCAGCCGGTCGATACAGTCAGGAGGAATCTTACTGGCAGCTGCTGGTCTGCTGGTGATCCAGATGAGAGCAGAAGGAAGCAGATTTCCCTTGATGAGGTTCGTTAGGAGAACATCCAGAGAGGCTGGTGATGAAACATCAGACCACGTCTCATTATCCTCCAAGTTTACAGGAAGTCGACATTCATCCAATCCATCAAGAATGAACAGGACTTTGAATTGATTTCTTCTTGTAAGCTTCAGTCCTTTTGTCTCTGGGAAAAACTGAGTTATGAGGTCCATCAAACTTAGTTTTCCTTGCTCCTTTAAGTTAATCTCTCTAAACGGAAGAGGAAATATGAAGCTGATATCTTGATTTTCTTTTCCTTCGGCCCAATCCAGAATAAACTTCTGCACAGAGACTGATTTTCCGATGCCAGCAACTCCTTTTGTCAGTACAGTTCTGATCTGCTTGTCTTCTTCAGGTGCTTCAAACACATTTGTGCACTCAACCTGTATCTCCTGTGATTCATGACGTCTGGAAGCAACTTCAATCTGTCTCACCTCATGTTCAGTATTGACCTGTTCACTACAACCCTGAGTGATATAGAGATCTGTGTAGATGTTCTTCAGAAGTGTAGAGTCACCTTGCTTTGCAATTCCTTCAAACACACATTCATACTTCTTCTTTAGGCTACACTTTAGCTGATGAATGAAGATCATCTCATCTAAACACAGGAATAAAATATACAGATAGTTTAGTCTCTGGGTTTGTTATCTACAGAACAGAATGTGGAAGTCTAAAGGAAGTCTGTCATTGGAAGAGACAGGGCAAGTTATGAACAGCAAATGATCTTCCTCTGAGTCATAACAGTGATTGTTGAAGAGAAAACCGATTGACACAGCGCTGGAAACAGCAAACAGAGTCTCTTACCTTCTAAAGTATCGGCAGCTTCATCTTGCTTCATCTCTCTCAGGAAGCAGAGCGTGAGATCAAGAGCTGCTTCTTTGTTACTGCATCTGTTCTCATTAAACTCCTTCACAAAGTATTGCATGTCCTCTTTTTGTAATATTTTCTTAAACATTTCCAGCTCATTTTTTAGAAATTTGATTATTTTCTTCTCAAGATCCTACAAACAAAGAACAAAAAAACATAGGCAAAAGAACAAAATTAAACCAAATCCACATTAATTTGGTCCAAATTATCTAATCAGTAATTACAAATATTTGTAAAAGAAACAAGAAACATTGCCCAGTAACAAATGTGTTTGTTATAAATATAAACATTTATGAAAATATTTTCCTACCTGGAAGATTTCTAGGAGTTTGTCTGTGAAATCCTTGTGGTTCTTGTTAATCTGCTCGTCTGAATCTAATGTCTCATATTGCAGCCTGTTAAAATGGCGAACAAAATGAAATGCACTTAAGGCAAAATATTAGAGAAATCTCTTTATTTTTTTTTTTATCAAACACAAAGAGCAAGCACCAGCTGTTAATGCTGCAGCTATAAGTTAATGCTGTTAAAGAGAAGGTTCTACTGAAGTACAAATTAATTTTTTTCTGTCCTATAAGGGGAGAACTAATGATGCAGGAAAAAACAGTATTACAGGAGTTCTTCAGTCTCGTTTGAAATGGTTTAATGCTGCAAATGGTAATTAAACAGATGGAAGGACATATTCATGTCTCTATGGGGAATTTATGCCTCATTGTTGCTTGCAGTGTAATTGTATTCCTGGAAAGAAGCTCCAGATTGAATTCAATAAAAAGGAAAACTGATTTTTTTATTTAGTTAATTTCTATCACAAATATCCCAGTGGAGAAATTAGCTAGTGACATATAATACAAAACACATGAAATACCTTTCAGTAGCTGATGGTGTTTCCTCACTGAATCTCAGTGGCAAACCTTCTTTTGAGCGGTCACTCTTCACAGACACAGAGCTGGACACATGTGAGCCTGATCTTACACTAATGACACAAAGAAGAGAGAGAGGGAAAAACATTTTACTACAGGAGATTCTTCAGTCTCATTTGAAAAGGTTTAATGTTGCAAATAGTTATTTCTGTAGATATATGGACATTCATGTTTGATTGCAAGATGTATTTTCCACAGTGAATGTATGCTCCCTAGTGTCTGCCTGTGTAACTGTATAACTGTAAAGAAGCTTTAGACACAGTTTAATGAAGGAAGCAGAAACTGTGTGATTTATTGTGTCATTTACTTATTTTCTATAACAAATATCCTAGTGGAGAAATTAGCTAATGCTATGCTGTAACACAAAACACATGAAATACCTTTCAGTGGCTGATGGTGTTTTCTCACTGAATCCCGGTGGTTCATGTTTTGAGCGGTCACTCTTCACAGACACAGAGCTGGACACATGTGAGCCTGATCTTACACTGATGACACAAAGAAGAGAGAGCTTTTTAAAAGAGAAAAGTATAAGTCCCCTTCCATCACTGTAGAGTCCAAGCTCTCTTCGTTCACAGCAGTAGCATCCTCATGTAACACACAAGCTTCATTTCTCCCATTGTGCCACATTCAGCTACATTCTCCTCAGTCTCTATCGTCTCACTTCTCTCACCTTCCTCATTTATATCTTCCCTTGCAATAGTGGCACGGAGCCCAGCTTCAACACTCACCCATCCTTTCATTATTTACAGCTTCAGCATCATTCACTTTCTCAGCGCATACACTTCTAATGTGGCCCTCCCATTATATCAGAGGTAGCAAAAACCAACTAATCGAAATCAAATTAATCTACATCATACTTCAAGACCACGCAAACCTGTCATCTAAAACAAACGGCAGTGATTTACAGTCAAGCGGGATCTTTTTATTTGGGACACTACTGTAGCATGTCTTAAAAGCTCTACAAGCAAGGGTTCATCTTTAATGAAAGGCTGAAGCAGCAGCATTACAGGAGTGAAGGCATCATGTATAGCAATGACATTTGGTTCAATTATGTCAAGGAATATAATGTGTTGGACTTGTGTATGACATCAGAGTACCGTGAGAGCTATAGAGAGCAGACAGTTCTACATGCTTTCGATTCGCTCTCACGGTACTTTGATGCCAAACATCAATTTGTAGAGTGCCACTTCAAGTCAAACACAGCTCTTCTGACTTCAAATCTACGGATTACACACCAGGGCTGTACATGACATATATGTTGAACGTGCTATGAAAAAAAAATCAGTCTGAGCGATGAATAAATATACCACAGTAGCATGCGTGCATGAGTTTGAGCCTGTATACAAACCTGCTTGTCCAACAAAGTGAACATTTAATGTTTTTGCTACATATTCATTTCATAACATCACTTGAGTGTAACCATTTTTGGCCAAATTGTGGACCCTTACAAAAAGACACAACAACCTTGGTGTTCTTAAGAATATAAAAAAAAAAAAAGGTTTATCTGAAAACCGTGCTCACCTGAACGCAAGAACAGGACTACAGCCGGACTTCACCGACACACAGCGGAGCAAAAATATCAACAACAAACTGACTGTTATTAATAACACATTCTCCCATATCCACAGAAATAACCAAGATCATATAGTAAATAAGAATGGAAAAGTCCTCCTGCAGCTCTGTCGAAGCCTGGGTCGGTATATCATCAACGGTAGGTTATGAGGAGACACTTTAGGGAGATTCACATTTTGCTCACCTCTGGAGAATAGCACAGTTGATTATAAGATAACAGACATAGATCCTTCATCTCTCAGATCATTCACTGTCAGAGAACTAACCCCTCTGTCTGATCACAGTCAAATTACGGTGTTTCTCAAAAAGACAGAAAATAGCATTAACAAAAAGCCCAGTAAGCTGTACAACATCAGAAAGCCATACAGATGGGCTGAAAACAGCGCTGAAGAATATCAGAAAGCACTTAGCAGCCAAAAAATACAAGCGCTGATAGATAACTTTCTAAATAACACCTATGCTCACACTAATGAAGATATCAATCTTGCGGTCAAAGATATAAATTACATATTTGAAAAATCAGCAAAACAATCCAAATTGAAAACAAAAAATTGAAAAAATCTAATATCCAAAAATGACAAAAATTGGTTTGATCAGGACTGCCAAATTATTCGCAAAAAGCTGAGAACATTGTCAAATCAGAAACACAAAGATCCCAATAATGCAGAGCTCCGCCTTCTTTACAGTGAAACACTAAAACAATACAAACATACGCTCAGAACCAAAAAAGCACAATACACCCAAAAACAACAATAATTGAGAAGTCAGTGAACACAAACCAATTTGGGGAAAATTGGAACAATCTGAAAAAAAAAACCTGATTATGAAGAATTGGCAATCCAAAATGGTGAAATATGGGAAAGTCATTTCCAAACATTGTTTAATAAAGTACAAACAGACACAAACTGTAAGCAAAATCAACTGGAAAAACTAGAATTAACAATCAAAGATAACCAAAACCCATTAGATTTCCCAATAACTGATAAAGAACTTAAAGAAAAAAATCAAAAACCTCCAACTCAAAAAAGCATCTGGACCTGATGGGATATTAAACGAAATGATAAAACACACAAGCAGTAAATTCCAATCGGCCATTCTAAAACTATTCAATGTGCTTCTGAGCGTAGGTTACTTCCCTGACATCTGGAATCAAGGCTTGATAACACCGATCTTTAAAAACGGAGATAAATTTGATCCTAACAACTACAGAGGCATCTGTGTGAGCAGCAACCTGGCAAAGTTATTCTGTAGCATAATAAATGCTCGACTATTAGACTCCATCATCACACACGATGTACTGAGCAGAAGTAAAATCAGATTTTTACCAAATTACCGTACATCTGATCATATCTATACATTACATACTCTAACTGAAAAACATGTAAACCAAGATAAAGGTAAAATATATGCATGCTTTATTGACTTTAAAAAAGCTTTTGACTCATTTTGGCACCAAGGACTATTCTACAAACTTATTTAAAGTGGCATAGGAGGTAAAACCTATGACCTTATCAAATCAATGTACACTGAAAGTAAATGTGGCATAAAAAAATCAGCACCAAACGTACGAGGTATCTTTCCCAGGAGCGTGGAGTGAGACAGGGCTGCTGCTTAAGCCCAATGCTATAGCTGCCCTGATCTGATGTTTCTAGCACATTATCTTACGCCATATTACTTATTATTATCTTATGCCTAATTACATTATCTTATGCCATATTACTCTATTATATTACTTAGATGTACATTTTGCTTCTGTAAATCTATCTAATCCCTTATCATATTTTTTTATTTAGTTCTATACTTAATAGTAATTAATTTTGCACGACATGCTTAATACTTGTTATATATTATTATTTGTTAATACATATGTGCACTATTTGTAAGCAGCCCAGCTGCAATTGCTTTGGCAATACAAATGTATAGTTTTTGTCATGCCAATAAAGCACAAAAGAGAGAGAGAGAGAGAAAGAGAGAGAGAGCGAGAGAACTTTACAGCAAAAGATACTTAATTTTGCCATGATTATTTTTTACTTGCTTAAATTACCATATTATTTGAATTTTCTATCCACTATATGTGCAACGTGAAACCAAAATGTAAAACATTTTAATTATGTGGTTGTACAGGACTTAACATACAGTATATGATAAATCAAACATATTTAACTAGGCTAAATATTCCTGTATATTAGACATTTCACAAGTTTCAAGCGGTTTTTAATCTGTGACAATCTAAACACATGTATAGGAAGTTCTACTTTGTTTTGCAAAGCATTTAAAATGACAATAGTGAGAGAAAACACTGCTTGTTGAAAAGTGTTTATTTCTGTGAAAGCAGACTCAGTGTTACCTCTGTTTCTGTGAGAGACTCATCTTTCCTCGCTCCTCTGACATACTGCAGATGAACAGCTCAACACTGAAGACGATCAGATGCTCATCATGACCTGGACATGACAATGAGATCAAGATCATGAGAGTTCAGAGCAATAAATGATGAAGAAAATAACTAGTGGTGAATCTTTGAGTTATCAAGCAATCGATATAAAAATTAAATATGCTACAAATATACTGCCATGTCACGATCTCTTCAGATTACTCACAACACACCTCTTTATTCACATACACATTACTGAAGAAGCTTAAAAGAAGATTAGTTTAGCTCGTGTTTACCTGTCAATCCAGAAGAACAGGTTTGATTTGACCACAGAATACTTTCAGTCTCGTGTCTTAAAATGGAAAAAGAGGAAATAAAATAACACTTTTAGAATTATTCTGAATGCTACATCATAAACAGGATATTTCAAATCCATACAATGACCCAGTAAGAAAAGATTTTACACAAACAACTGTTGCAAGAAAAATAATACATTTTCTAAAAAAAAGTTTACAGAAGCTAAAATAAAAAGTTGAAAGCTAAAAGTCCCATTAGAGGGCTGCTAACATTGTGAACTTCATTCCAAATTAATGCAAAATAAATCAGTTCATATTATAATAACTTTGTTGACAACAAAAAGAAAAAAAGGAAAACTGATTTTGCAATTATGTTATTTATACCTTATTTATTAAGTTACCCAATTAACAGCTCTTATGTCATTCAATATTAAATATACTGAACTGCTCAAAGATTTATAACCTAATGGTTCTTCAGCTTCATTGATGAAGGATCAAGCGATTGATGTGGGAGGAGCTTCACTGAAGGTGCGCTTGTTGTGGGAGGAGCTTAACTGAAGGTGTGATTATTGTGGGAGGATCTTCACTGAAGGTGTGATTGTTGTGGGAGGAGCTTCACTGAAGGTGTGCTTGTTGTGGGAGGAGCTTCACTGAAGGAGGAACAGATCTGCCAAAATGTTAAAAAAAAATGTTTGTTGAGTTTGTTTTTATACTAATTCACACATTTTAACTATTGATGTTCATCTACCTATATTTATCAAGTCAAGTCACTTTTTTAAAAACTAAATTAATTGCATTTTATTTTATACTAATTCACAAATTATATCTACAGTTTCATACACATATTTTATTCCTACAGTTTATCTTACCTCTCATTAATATTCAGACAATGATTTAAAGCAAAAATTAAGGAGTACATCCAAAATATATCAAATATAAGCAATGTAAGAATAAAAAAAATACAAATAAAGAATAAACAAAAAAGTAAAAAGTAATTTTAAAAAGTAACTCACAAATTTGCAATAAACAAATACCCACAAATTAAGTTTAACCTAACTCATTTTTGGTTTTGTCTTTTATATGAAACATGTTTTATCACAGATTCATGAAATAAATGCTTGTAACGAGAGGGTCGGGGCCGAGAGCCGTGGGAACGGAGCGAGGTCGGTGGAGTAAATGCTAATGCACGACACCTGCACCACTCACCGGTCTCGAGTCCCATGGAGGAGCTCCGGAAGGATAAAAGGAGAAGTGACGACAGTGTTGGAGGAGAGAGGACAAGGCCTGGATTTTATTTTGTGTTTTGGTTCTGTTTGTGCGCGACAGTCATCTGTGAGGGGCTGTCGCTCTGTTTTGTGTTTACTTTATTATTAAAGTTTTGTTTAAATGTTCGCCTTCTTCCCGACCTACGAACGTTGTTACATTGGTGCCGAAACCCAGGAGGAAGGAGGGACACACTGCCAGAGATCCCTCGCCGGGGGAAGGAAATACATCTTTGAGTTGATCTGAATATCACAGAAACCGCTGGTCTTGAAGATGAACTTTATTCACTGTGACTAATTTAGATTGTTTTTTATGACAGATTAATATGGAAGAGATGCGGTGTAGCGCTTGAAAACTCTGGACCTGGAGATAAACTACTTAATGTGATAGCTTATTTTATGGCTCTGTAGAGAAGATGAATGACTGAAACTCTTCCCGCATGCAGTGCAGTGATACGGTTTCTCTCCAGTGTGAATCCTCTCATGTGTTTTCAGGTCTCCTGACTGACTGAATCTCTTGTCGCAGTGTGAACACGTGTAAGGTTTCTCTCCAGTGTGGATCCTCTGGTGTCATTTTAATTATTTAGCTGTAATAAAAGTCTTCTCACACTCAAAGCACATATGATCTCACACCAGTATGTATCTTCTGATGAACCTTTAAACTGTGCAATTGTGAAAAACTCTTTCCACAGAAAGAACATGAATGTGGTTTCTCCTTTGTATGAACTTTCAGGGGTTTATTAAGGACTGAATCCCACAAAAATGTTTTTCCACATTGACAACATTCGTACAGTTTCTCTCCAGTGTGGATGTTCATGTGAATCTCGAGACTCTGTTTGTATGTGAAACTCTTTCCACACTGAGTGCAGGTGAACCTTTTCTTGTCTCTTCTTTTCAGTAAAGAAATACTTTCAGTCTGTGAGCGAGTTTTTCCTCTAGTTTTGACATGATGTTTTTTCTTCTCGCCCACAAAAATGTTTTTCCACATTGACAACATTCGTACAGTTTCTCTCCAGTGTGGATCTTCATGTGAATCTCGAGACTCTGTTTGTATGTGAAACTCTTTCCACACTGAGTGCAGGTGAACCTTTTCTTGTCTCTTCTTTTCAGTAAAGAAATACTTTCAGTCTGTGAGCGAGTTTTTCCTCTAGTTTTGACATGATGTTTTTTCTTCTCCATTAGACCTGAAATTAAAGTTAAAAAAGGTAACAATATAAATAAATCATGTGAAGTGAAAGCAGACAACAGCTTCACCAAATTATGATCATTTTGACACATTTTTTACAAAATAAGTTACAATTATCTATATTAAAAATACAGACACAAATCCAATGTTTCTGTAGTAAGAACTATTCGATGCTTGATCAACTCTACAATTACAAATATTATATTATAAACAAAATATTAACATTGATATACTATACTAAAAAACATATGTAATTAATAACTATTTTAAATTAATTCATTGGCCAATATTTTTCACTCAACACAATTTTCATTCCATTTCTTCATTTGTAAAACATTTTTTAAATGGCAACATCCAGGAAGTGACATCATTTGAATATTTGAGTTT